TTCCAGACGACCGCTGCTGTGATTTGGGGCTGTAAAAAAATTTTATGGAATCGAACGTAAGTAGCGCTTTTTGGGACAAGATGCTTCACAAAAAACATGAAAAAATAACAGAAGAAAGTTGAAATTTAAGAAACAGGTGGATTTTTTTAGAAAAGTTCTGTGCAAATTCTGTGAAACACACTGTAAAAAGACAAACAAACAGCATCACTAAAGCTTCTTTGAGCTTTTTGCAGCACTGGTCGTAATGTAATGGCGCATGGGATCATTTCACACACTCCCTTTGTACATGTCTGCTTGAAGAACACGGCCCTTTGATCATGGAGGATATGGCCCAAGGTCGAAGAGACAATATCACGGGTCATTTTACTGCAGCTCAGGTCGTGACGTTGCGCTCCGGGGACATGGCCTTGACACTGGAGGCTCCAGGAGAGGCCAGATCACAAACCGGGGGGCCCTCACACTAAATTACAGTGGACTTCCTCCTCTTGGCTTTACATGTGTGTGGTTTGAGCCGTCTCTAGAGCTAAATATTGAGTGTCGGAAAGAGAAGTGCAGGCAGCTGGAATTATCCAGTTTTGAAATAAGGTTTTTAGATTACTTTATAGATTACATTTTTGTTTTAATTTTGTAACTTTACTGTCCCCTGCCCTTACAACCACCACTTTACTGTCACTTTTTCTGTACGTTCACTGCACTGCTAGTGTCTATTGTGTGCACTTGTGTATAGCAGTATTTTTAAGAAATGTTATGTAGATGTTTTATTTGAATGCAATTTTTGTTTGCTTCTGTTCTGTTATAGTTTTACTCTTAAACTGGTTTGCACCAAGAGCCAAAGCAAATTCCTAGTTTGACATTTTCTACACCTCGTCAGCATTTTTGAAACTGTTTAAAAATGCCCACATCCGTCTGAGTTGGTTTTACTTATATTGTGTTTTGTTTAATTACTTTGTTATTGTTGCACCCTTACTGAAAAGGATTCTGGGTCGTTTATACAGCGACTTCTGATAATCGTTTCCCGCAAGATTTAATTTTTTATCTTTTTTATTTTGGTTGACTTTTATATCGTTTCCAGGCTTTACCATTTGTCTGTTTCTGTCATGGTCTTTTGTTAATTTATTAAGTTGTTTTAATATATATATATATATATATATATATATATATATATATTACTTCTTGTTGTTTGTTTACTTCCTGATATTATACATATACATATTTAGACCCTGTCCTCTTGTCGTTGGTCCATTTTCTTTTGGTGTTGTTCCTGGTTCCAGTTTCTACTTTTCCTTATTTCCTTTATTTGTGGCATTTATTGAATTATATTATTTTGCAGTTCTGCTTTGGGTGCTTTTTTGATTAATCTCAAGACAGTTTCTGAAAAAACTCCTTAAAATGCTGAAACGGCAAACCGAAAGACGCCAGTGCCATAACCCGAACCAATTTATCTCACATCCTACCACATGGTTGAATTAAAATGCTGCTACAGCCTGCCATGTTTAGGCGGGGACGAGTTAAAAGTGGTTTGTTGTTGGATTCATAGCTAATTTGTGTACTACTTTAATTTGTCGGACTGATCTCATGGAGAAACATGGGCTAATCAAGTTAATCAGAAGCGTTTTCATGTGTATAAATAGAAAAAAAAAACTGAGTAGATGGTTGTGACAATATTTGTAAAGTTTTTTCTCCTCTCTTACAAGTCAATTAAATTCTATAAATTTTTGAACAGCCCTAAACCACAACAGCTGTCATCTTGGAGGACTTTACTTTAAGTTGTACTGTAGATTCCTCAACAACAGATTAGAGAATGTACACAGTTTGAACACAATGCAATAATAACATAAGCCATTGGGTCATAGGGAGCAGATGACTATTGTCCATGAATGTCCTTACATGTCCTGGATCCTCACTGGCTAGCTCCTCACATAACTAATAATAATAATGCATCGGTTTGATACAGCGCTTTTTTGGACACTCAAAGACGCTTTACGCTTTAATGAATAATGACAATTCATTCACTCCAAACATGGTGGTGATAAACCACTGACACACTGACAGAAACGAGGCTACCAGTATGTGGCCACCACCAACCATTCACACACACACCAGACTCATTCTAGGCAATGGGGGTGAAGTGTCTTGCCAAAGGACACAACGGCAGTTTAGCAATTTACAACCGGAGCCGCCCCACTGTGGCTGGTGTTCCCAGAGGTTAAGTGTCTTGCCAAGGACACAACAACAGCAGACATCAGTGGGAGTTGGTGGAGAAGGTATTGTGGTGGGCTCGAATCCACAAGCTTCAGGCTCAAAGGCTGAAATAACTGAACATAAAATGCTAAATTTCCAAATATAATTTCCCATGGACCAGGACACCGAGGATCTGTTATTAGCAAAATCATTATTAATTCAAAATATAAAATGTTTTCATCATAAACTAGATGAGTTCATTAAAAGTCTATTAGAAGTGCAGAAGCTCATTATCTGTTGTGTGGCAATACACAAAACCAGGCTGCAGGCGCCATGGTGTTGTATTTTGATATTGTCTTGATATAAACAATAATATCAGAACAATCCACTGCCTTAGCAACAGTGCGCTTGTGCAACAGCGTGGGCGCCTCAATAATCTGTGCTGCAGGTGGTAATTTCATTTATTCACAAGATGTTTTCATCATAAACTGTAGGAGGAGTGCTTCTGATTGGATTTTCTTCGTATTTATATTGTCGAGAAAAAAGCATGTTATAACTGACATTGACAATAAAGACAGCCACTCCTTCTTCATAATGCTAAAGTTGGAGATTTTAAATGTGTTTCTTTATCACACTAAAGCTAGAGATTTTATACTTGCTCTTTTTATGGTGTAGTTGGAGATGTTATTGTTGTTATCAGTTATTGTTCATTTATCTTGTGTTATGTGTGCACAAGCCCCGGCGATCCAAGATGGCGCCGTATTCAAATTAATGGTTGGTGCTCAGTGGCGCATTGTGCCGGCATGGGCGGCGAAAGATTAGCGTAACTCACCTGGAACTTGCAAAGATCCATGGGAACTCGCCTGTATTTGGGCATTGTCTGGTCCTCCCGGTTCTGCGCAGTGGATGAACTCCAATGATGCGTTGCGCAAAATACTCGTGTGTGGCTGTCATGCACGTGCACAGAGGGGCTCGGCCACGCTCTGACCAATCAGAGCTGCTGATCAGAGCGGGAGTTAGAGCGGGAGCCAGACGAGCAGAGTTTTTGGCACTAAAGTGTGGATTTAAAGAAAACCGAAGGATTTGAGAAGAAAAGAAGTTCAGGCTGTCAAGGGACACTAAAATCCCCACAAAATCTGACCTTTATGAAAGCTGTAGGTTCTCTGTCAGCTGAGGTCGAGCTGTTTTAGTTTACATTGAGTTCTATGGGGAACATTTCTGGGTGAATCCTCCCAGCACATGGGTTCTTCAGCTCCAAGCTAGTAATACCCTATCCAGTTATTATAATAGATCCATGTGTGCTCCTTATTCCTACATTTCCACACTGAGACGAATTTCTCCACTGGGACGAATAAAGGATCTCTCACATATCAAGGCTGGTTGCCAAATTATCATAGTAACTACTGACCATCTCGAGCTTCTTCTGAGGGAAATTGATTGATATGGTTTTTTTGCTGTGAAAAGAACCTGGTTTTATCAGGAGATTATATCAGTGCTGTGACTCAGAGCACCGTGATTTACCACAAGTTGGACACGGACAGCCATTGTGTTGTGTTTATTACACATCATAAACTTATCTAAAGACTTCTGTTCAGATGGACCAAGTGCCTCAGCTATTAATCAATATATGATTGTACTTTCGCACTTAATCAACGTCAAATAAATCCTTTTAAGCTGTGTCTAATGTATTTGCTTAGTATTAATCCAATTGATGGATCTTTACTCCTTTCCTGCTGCTGTCAGACTGCACAGCAAACAATACTGTCTTCTGTGAATGGTATTACTTTAGTAGGGTAATCAGAAGAAAACCCTAACCCTAACCCTTTTCAATTGTCTGACTACTAGTATTATTTTATGTAAACATGTAAAAATGAAAGAATATTCAGAACAATTGAAATAAATAAAAAAATGAAATGAAATGAAATGTTACATGGATGCTGGAGCATGATGGAACCGGCCCGGACTCTCAGGAGCACAGGGGCAGGACTCCTGCTGGTGCCCAGAGTCAGAACTAAACATCGTGCAGGTAAAACCTGGAACAATTTTCCAGAGTTTAGATTCAGGTTAAAGAACTGTTCTGTTTACAAATGGTTACTGAGCTAAATTACTTTTCAATGTAAGTGAATAGTAACCAGAGAAAATTGTAGCATGAGCACTTTATTATTGAGCTAGCGAGTTAGAATTACCAATCTACAGTTTATACAGTTTAAGGGTTATGTGTCCTGTTTTTCTGTTTTTGTATCTGCCGTTTGAAACCAAGGAATTACATTACTATCATAATAATAGATTATTAGAGTGTCTTCTGATACCTCACTTTAGCCACTTTATCTACCTTTTTTTCTGTTATTTTTTCTGTTTTTCCATGCCCTATAAGTCCTCGAAGGAATTTACAAAATTGTGGATTCACCAAAAACAGATCAGAGGAAATGCAATAGTCAGTGAGTCAGTGGGAGTGGGATTACAAATGTCCATACACGGCAATAAAAAAATAAAAAAGGTTATTGCCTAAATCAAGCATTTGTTTTTGTTTTTTTTATCTCAATTTGTGTACTCTTTTTAAACAAGATTATTTTGCTTGTCCCATAAATTACGGTAATTTATTTTCCAAATTGGACAAATTGTTCAACTTTTTGCAGTGTAAATGTGAATAAACGCCCATAAATATATATTGTGAGATGAATCGCTGACATTTTCCCACATATGTCTTATCTCCTCTTGTTGCATCTTTTCGAATTTGGCGAGCGGTGTGTACTAATAAAACAGTGTCACATCCATAAGGCACGGAGCTGGAGCCCATGGGGACTGAACACATTCCTCACTTAGGTCTGTGCCGGTGCTGCTGTCCACAACATGCATGAGCTCAGAGCAGCCGACCAAAAACACGGATTTTTTCACCTCCAGATATCCAGCAGATGATTACATAACAGCCAGCCCTCTGTCTCTAGGCTCTCCTGCCTCCCAGTTAATCAGGGACATGAGCTACAAACCAAATCAGAAAGTACAGGAATAGGCATTATTTATTCACTGCAGCATTCAGAAGTATTCTACAGATATAGCGTGTATATCTGTAGAATATGTGTTGCATGTTCTCCCTTTGTCTGTGTACAAAGAGGGATCTATGTAAAAAGCATTTATTGTTTCAGAAAGTATACAGCCATAGCCAATGAAGCTGGAATAGATTGTTAAATATGTATCTACAAATGCTGCATGTATTATGTATGAGCAGAGAATATGGACCATGCCACAAACCAGACTCCAATTCAGCTGGTATGTATAGAATGTGGGTGCCTTGTGAGACTTTTGTACCTTTGCTCACAAAGGTGAGCAAACAGCACTTTGCTGTTAAAGTCAGTGATCTTACTTACTTGCAAGACAAAGCAAGTTTATTTGTATAGAATAGTTCTTACAGAGACCAGCCTGCAGAACACAATCGACATTCTGTTACAAGCTGTTGTCGCAATCAATTTAAAATAAATGGGCAGTTATTTGATTTTCTTTCCTCCCATCTTTGTGCAGTGAATGAATCAATTTATAGCTCTTTATCTACTGCAAGACTCTTTCTATGTCTTTTCATAACAAGATAAGTACTAGATTTTCTGAAGTAGAAGTCGGGAAGGTGAGGGAGGGAAGGAGCAGCGGTTTCCAACAACAACTAATCCAATTCAATTCATTCTTGTATAGCCCCAAATCACAACAGAAGTTATCTCGGGGGACAACACTACCGTTGCATTTGCCAACACAGATCAGAGAATCAAAGTTCAAATACAATGACAAAAAACCACACATAGAGCCGTTGGTTGATAAGGAGCAGATGACCAATGTCCACAAATGTGTCCTGTCACCACTGTCCTTTTAGTTAGACCAGGACAAGGGTCCAACAGACCCTCCTGCATCGGCAAGGAAAGACTCTAAAACCCAGTGGGAACAGGTGAGAAACCTCGAGGAGGTCCACATCGAGAGAGAGATCCGCTCCCACAGACGGACAGGCTATAGATCCAGGATGAACGAGGACAGACACGATGCAGGACAGAGGCAGCTCCTTGGCAGGGAGGGGGTGCAGTCCACGAGTCGGGCTGCACCCCATAAATATGCATTAAACATTTAGGCATTTATACATGCATTCATATATTTGAGCTTGCATGTGAATAAGTGGCATACTTAGACAGTATGCAGTGTTTCAGTGGTATAGACAGTGTGTATACAGTATAAAATCATAACAATTCCAAGACTCCTTTCTGATTTGTGATTGTACTCAAAGTATTCCACAATTTGAAAACATTTTGAAAGGGACTTGTATCAAGCCTTAATTTAGTGATATAATATTTAAATGATATTTTGTAACTAACTGCGATAACAGAACTGGTATCAGCATTGAGTCCATACCATAGGCTTGTACTCGTACTGGCAACCGATACCCACATTTTAAATGTTCATTAGCGTCACGACACAATTGTGGTCGAGCCTTTGTGTTGAAGTTAAAAAATAGATAGACAGCCGGGGTCAGAAATGCTGTGGCTTTTTATGTAGAAACAGAAGCATGGTCAGTGTGGATTCCTCTGCTTTGCGCCAAAAGACACAGCGCTGTCAGAGTCGGTGCCAAATCTCGTCTCTGCAACTTTTGAGGTCCTTGTCAACGTTTGTTTATGAATCTAAACAAGTCCAATGGCAAACAGAAAAGTGCAAACAAAAACTGATTTACTGTGGCGGAGCAGACATGCCTTTTCTGGTCTCATTACAGTTCTAAAGTTTATGGTAGAGGACTCTATTGCGTAGTGACTTTGGTCACGTTTTCACACTTCAACAAAAAGGTCTTCAAATCCTTTTATGAGAAGTGTTGCATGTTCTCCCTTTGTCTGTGCTGTTTCTTCTGTGTGTTGGCTTGAGTACACATTGGTGGTTTTATATCAACAAATACATATGTTTTTTACCCAGAAGAGGACAACAGCCTCAGTCCTGGTTCTAGAGCCTCAGACCTGAATCTACAGCCTAAATCCTGGATCTACAGCCTCAGTCCGGGAATTAAAGTCTTATTCCTGGATCTACAGCCTGTCCATGGAAGCAGATCAATAAAGGCCTCCCAAATGTTTTACTCCCTGAACTGTTGTCGGCAAATCTACAACTTTGTAAAGTCCTCCAAAATACATGAAAACAGTCCTGTTTTACACCTGGTTCACATATGGTTTGCAACAGAAGACCACATTGGGATAAATAGTGGTGGTGCACGAGCCACTAACTGTACATTATTTTGAGTTATTTCGCGTTCAGTTTTAGGACGGCCACATTATTTCCCCCCATCACTCAGTCCAATGCCTCACAGATAGCTCCACATAGCAGCTGTAAGCAGGCGTAATGTTGTTATCTATTTTCAGTATCCTTAAGTGGGCTTTTGGGACCGGGCCAACGTCTGGCTGTTCTGGTTTGGTCCAGACCTCTCCCCCTGTGGTCCTCCAGAGCACTGTCCAGTTCAACGCCTCATTTGCATTGAAATTGTGGGCGGAGCATTGGTGATTATTCCACTAACGCCGCGTCACAGAACCAAGTCTGGATGGATGAAGAGACGCTCGACTTGCATTTCTAGCCCCGCCCCTCCAGGTGTGCTGGTGCTTTCACGTCATAGGAACTGAGACTTTGGAGAAAAATGGGTTGTTGGGTTGGGATTTCAACTCAAAAACGTGTGTGTAGGTGCTGGGAGGCAAGTTAGAGATTGTAGAAGAGAGAGGAAAAAGGTTAATTCAATTCAATTATTTATTTTTTATAGCAATTATACTATTTTTATAATCAGAACAGGAGTTATCTTTGAGGACTTTACCTCCTTTAACCATTGAATTCACCCACACAGATCAGAGAATCAAACAGTTCAAACACAAGAAATGCAATTATAATAACAATCATAGAGCCATTAATCCATGGAGAGCTGATGACTAATGTCCATAAATAAAACTAAATTAAATAAATGCTGTTGTATGTCGAGAGTCCTGGACAGACTTTTCTTTCTATTACACAACAGTGACAATAAACATTTCTATACTAATAAAACAACTCCGGGGCTGAAACAAGTAATCAGAATCGATCCAATGAATCCATTACAAAAATTATGTGATCTAATGACTGATTCAACATTCACACATTAAAATGAACTTTATATTTATAACTGATGCAGCAGAAATTCTGAAGCCATCACTGTATCATCTGGGAAAACTCCCTACAGCTAATGCACGTGTTGAAAAGTATTCAGAGATGTCCATTGAGATTAAGATTAAGATTAATAGATTCTTTACTCAACCCGAAGAGGGGACATTTCAGTGTATCTTGTTCATATTGTTGCTCTTTTGTGCTTACTGTTGTGTAATTGACACTATCTAGTCCTTGTGACTTTTGAATAGTCTGCCTTCAGTTTGATCAATGTATTGTTTTTTTGTGATATAAAACTATGTGAAAAATATAGGCCTCCCTGAAGCTTCTCACTTTTCGCCAAATAGGTTTTTCTTTTCTTTATAGTTCCTTGCCGATGCAGGAGGGTCTAAGGACAGCAATGATCTGTGACATTTAGAGACATTTAACAACATTTATGTATATTTGCCATCCTGCTCCTTAAGGATCAATGGCACCTATGTGTTTCATATTATTGTGTTTGACCTGTAGGATTCTCTGATCTGTTGTTGGTGAAGCAAGGAATTTGACGAGACGACTGCCATTGTTGTTTAAGTTTAAAAAAAATGAATCCAGGCTCTCTGGTTTCCCCCTACCAGCCAAAACATGCACCATGGGTAAAATCTTCTACAGCTCCAAATCCTGAGTGTAGTGACCCTTGCTTCTGACAGGTGGCCCTAGTGAGGCATAGACCGTCCAGGATTGTTGTGGAGTCAGATGAATCTGTTTGATAACTTCCTCTGTGGTCTGAGTCTCATAAAGGATCCGAGGAAAGACAGAATAAAGAAGTGTGCGGAATAGTTTTCATTAAAAAAAAATTATATCAGTGTTGAGATTTCCAATGTGCTAAATAGATAATGAAGAAGCAGGGGAGTCAGAGATCAGAATATTTAGCAGGCAGAAGCAAGGAATGATTCATTTAAGCTGCACATTCACCTGTTTGCACCACTAACAGTTCTCACAGTTTAGTTCTGTCTCACTTAACCCCGAGGACTCCCAGTATTCTGAAACTTCTAGTACTCCCAGTCATAGAGAGAGCTCACGATAAAAACCAATGGAGTTCAGAATAATGTTTTAGTATTTGTTTTTGTTTCTAGTTTTTTATTTTATATTTATCAAATTCTATGTTTTTTTTGTTTAGCATTGATTAAGTGCTAAAACTGGTGAATATAACTTTAAAAACAGCAAATCCCTTTAATAATGCTAAAGACCAAATGCAAAGTAAACAGCGTGTTGCTATGGCTTAGTTCAGTTTAGTTAATTTAAAGTGACAGGGACAGTGTAATAAACATTAACCTGAAAGAGAAAGATGAATGGTACCAGGTTATAGCTCAAGAGCTCATTTCCACCCGTAGTCCCAGGGCAGGCTGATGTTATGATAACTCACACCCTCCCTTCTCTGGTGGAAACAAACAAGCTAACTCGGCTCAGAACCAGAACCAGTCCAGAACCAATAAAATGAGAAAAGTGACTGTAACTGCCATGTACTGTTGGTTGCCAAGTGACCAAACATGACTGGATTTACACTTCTAACATTTAAAATATATGCTATTTCATAAGAACTAATCTTAATTTAAAAAAAATAATGCAACTAGACAAAGTTAGGGAGATAAAATATGTACATGAGCTGAATAATCACTCTTCCATATCCCGTCAAAGTGACTGCACTGGGAGTTACAAAGTTACAAACTGGACATGTAGCTGAG